GCACTAGCAAACACATGACAGTTGTATTAATTCCGTAGATAGCAAAAAGGCCTGGGCTTGCTCAGGGGAGCTGCACAAGGAACATAACAATTTTCAATTCAGCAAACTTGCCTAAGTTTTCCAGGCCGCGTGTTTTTAAATGGGGTACCAAGGTGCAAAATTAAAAGCAAATAAAACTAATATTAACTAAGTATATAGAAAGATTGGGAAAACACTATATGAACATCATCTTAAAAAAAATTTCCTCCTTTACTTACTGACTAGAAATTTTGTTCTGAATCATCATTGCTTAGAGTTCTTAGAATTCTGATAGTTACCTAGCTGGGGATTTGCCCAACAGACTTCTCTCAGGAAATGCAGCAGTGGTTTAGGTTTTAGCAGCTTTAAAAGAAAATTTCCTTTTTTAATACTGGCTTTTAGTTTTCTGAATGCTCAATGATTTATGATCTTAAAATACAGTTACGTATTTAAAAGCCTGCCAACTCCCCATCATATGCACCTCTGTAAAACACTCCTCACCCATAAACAGAACAAAACTTAACCAGAATCATGATTGGTGATGGTTGGAAGCCCAGTTAAGCTTTATATACAAAGACATAATTTCTTTAATATACATCAAGTTGATGATCTGTTCAGGAGCAAAATGTCTTCTTTTTCTTCTTCACTTTTTTCTCTGATAGCACTTGTGACAAACTAGTTCTTCAGCTGAAAATGAAATAACCAGCCTGAATTAAAATTCTGGGTTCTAACCTACTACATAAAATCCACGACATGTCCCCACTCATTTCTGCGTTGGCGTATACATATGAAAACAGTTCTGACCTTCTAAAACTGCACTTGTGAACTACATACAACTCTGCATTTCCCAAAGTTTTGGCAGTGTAACATATTCGGCTTCACTTTCGTTTAACATCAGCCTCCAAACATGTTTGGTTTCTTCTAGCACGGTCAACTGCAAAACAGTTTCGTTCAGAGCTTTAAAACAACGACCATTGCCGTCTTTTAGGGTCTTCACCGAACAAAAAGAACATGTTTGGTGGCAAATGGGAGAGTTAAATATAATCATGTTGTGGTTTTTAAAAGTACTAAGACAACTGGTTCAATACTGCTAGATAGTAGGTGATATTTCTGTAGGATCTTAGTAGAAAAGTTTTCAAATCCTGACAGAAAGTACATGAAAAAAATATTTTTATAAGATTTTTAAAGAATTCCTTGCTTTTTCCATTCTATTTACTTAGCTAAATGGAAACAAAGAAAATATGGAGGATTTTTCTTTATCACTTCAAATTCACACAACAATCTACCCTGGTGAAGAGCTGGCTAAGTACAGCAAGCAGACAATCTGCATTATTAAAGTAACACTTTTTCTCCCACGCCAATAAAAAAAACCCACTGTGTGAGATACAGAAAACAAAAGTGAAATCTGCAGCAGGACAAAATATCTTACAACTCAGTTGCAACTTTTTCCCATGCAGTCTTTTCTAATGAGCGTTCCTATATTCTGTGAAGAACCAGGAACAGGATCCTCAGATCCTTGTCAGTCTGTATTGCATTGTCAAAGTGACACTGTAGTTACCTTGAGCCAGAGACAGTTTTATCTGCAGTTACTTTTGAATGAACAGCTGCAAGTGCCATGAGATTAATCTTTTCCTTCTTTTTTTTCTAGCTGAGTTCTCCTTACTCAACTGACTGAAGTTCATATGCTGGAAAAAATAGTAATCGTGTGAACACTGGATGGGTTAAAGATGCCTTAATTTTTTTACAATCATCTTTGTACATCAACTTTTCCTGGAAACCATTATGTTATTCTTAGGCCTCTTTCTGTTATCAATCAACATGTAAATAAGGAATTTTCTCCCTAGGGATTCAAATAGCTTTCTGCAAGCCAGATTTGCTGTTCTCAGTGATAAAAGGCCAAATCCTTCCTCGTTAGGAAGTCATTTGACTGCAGTGAGGTCCCAGCAGAGATAAATTTTACTTGCAGAATTAACTAACATTCATAGAATTGCTGTAAATATGAGGACAGAACAAAATGTTCTGCTTCTGAAAACAGCACATAGAGATAAGTGAAGACATTAATGTGTTTGGAGAAATTAGGACTTATTATGTTAAATAGTTTCTGTTTAATCATAATCTTGCACGCCACTGGTTTAGATTCTATTTCAAAGCAAAGCTTCTCATTCCCCTGAGTTCAAGTGTCCCAGAGGTGTTTGGGACATTTTTTTATTAAAAGAAGAAGTACCTTCAGCATAGATTTTTATCTGACACTACAGCAGAAGTTGTGGAAGACAGGTAAGCATGGCAGGGAGGAGAAGGGAGTTGCAGAAAGGAAGCAGATGCAAAATTTGTGGTGTCAAAAAGGCTGTCTCCATTTGGCCACTGGAAGACAGAGTTAGTGAAACTTTCCTCCTCACAAAGTAGCTGCAGGAGTAAATCTGTTTAGGCAAGGTGCACTCAGACAGTACAGCACGTACGATCAAAAAGCCTACAAATAAAAAAATCCTGATCAGATGCAGTTTGGATACTAACTGGAAAATGCCAACTGGGAAGCAGAGTTTTAAAAAACTGAAGAGCTGCAATTGCCAACCACTGGGAAAATTGCGCTGCATGGCAGATCATTACGTGTCAGTCAGAGGCTCATTTAATAAACAGAATAACTACCTTTTGTATAAATGGCCCTTTTAAAATACATTTGGTGTTTTTTTTTTTTCTTTCAGGCACTGGTTTAGTGCTGGGTTTGGATTGTTTGGTCTTGTTGTTTTCTGTTTTTTTGGTTTTTTCTCCTCTCAGTATTCTCCCTAAAATCTGTGTTAATAGAATAATAAAGAGGTAATTCCAAGGACAAATATGCCGGCTCAATCAAATTGAAGTCTTATCCACAGAATACATGGTTAATGCATGCAAAGTTCTTACAATACAAGCCCTTGAAAGTTTGCACCTTACTGTTTTCTTGAGTAGGTACAAATTACACATCTGAGATGAAAATGTAACCTCCTTGAATCAGTAAGACACGCATTTTACTTTCATTTCTCCTTTTTTCCCTCACTCCTTTCACCCGTACTACTTACGTTAGTTGAAAGCAAGTGAACGGAAACAGAGTAATGAGCTGTTTCTCTGATATGTGGGAATAGATTTCAAAAAAACAATCACATCTCTGTTCACTGACCTGAGTGATTTAAAGTGAGCTGCACATAAGTAATTTTTCTCTCAGAAAGCATCATGTATAAATAATTTTACAAAACAACAAGAGCAATTCTGTATATATTTTGGTAACATCTGTAACTTATATAACCAGCATGAATAAAAACAGATTTTGGCTTCAAGTTGCAAACCTGGACCTCTGTGGAATTTTTTTCAAGGCACAAAGAAACAGTCTTGCTGCCTTTTTGTTGATCTCAAGCCTGAACCACAAGCAGTAACACAGGCATCTAGAGCAGCAAACATAACTTCACCTCGCATCAGCTATTGCAAGCCTTTTCATTCTAACCTCTTCTCACAGTCTTAATACAAACTAAATGGGGGATGCCCTACATTTTTGACCTCATGAGAAGTACTGTAAAAAGGGACCAGACATGACATGTGAAGCAGCCTCCTCTCCCCTTCCTCCCTGCTCCCCAAGCAATGCAACCCTTGAAAACTCTCAAGTATTAACTTCAGCACGATATAACTGGCGTTACCGAGCAGCACTGTGGATCGGGTTTTCACATTATGGTTTCTACTATTGCTCTAAAACAGATTTTGCAAGGCGTAGGTTTAACATGTCATTGAAAGGCGTATGACTTTAAATCATTTCACTGCCTTAAAGTAACATTGTTACATTCTGTAAGGTGAATATACGTAACCCAAGCCTACTTCCATTGAAAAAAAGTGAGAATTTTGTCCTTATGCAACTACAAGTAAGAATAGAGTTCTCCATATAATGATGTGGAAGGGAGCAAACACACAAAGGGGTGCCTCAGACACCACCAGGAGAAACAAAACATCCACTTTTAAGTACGCTTACTAACTGTGCTTATGCTTCCGCCGTGTTTTGCAGCAGCAAATTAAAAAAAAAGAAAAAAACACGTGGCTGCCCTATTCTTTGTGTCTTGGTGCATCACTGTGACGATGCCTATTAAAAATTAGAAAAAAAAAAAAAGTGAAAACTGTCAGTTACCTCCTGCTACAGCTTTTATTTACAGTCCTGTTTATATATCCAGTGCTCCACAGCGTTTCATGCCACAAAGTTTACCAAACAGACCTTTTAATTCTTTGTTTCTTTCACGGAGTAACAACTGGAGTAACTACTCCATCTGAGGAAGGGGCGGGGACACAAAGGATACCGAAACAGATCCAAAGTACCCTGGAGACCCAAAGCCTGGATTTTATTATCCCGGTCTTCGCTGACACCTCACGAAGGGGTCAAAACCCGCCCAGACCGTGTGCGCCCAACGCGGCAGCAACAGAGCCGCTACTCCTGTTCGCTGTTCTATTCCTAGCGAACAGGACCTGCAAGAAAAGCGGGATGAAGGATGAAGGAGTGGGAAGGGGACGCTCAGCCGCCCGGAGCGGCGTTCTCAGTGCCCCGGGTGGCAGTGCGGGTCGCAGCGCACAGACCGACACCCGCGGCTGCGAGCATGCCCGCCCTCAGCCCCGTCTGCCTTTCCTTCCTCTCCCCCCCAGGGCGGCCCGTTTCGCTTTCGCTTTCCCCTTCCCCTCAGCCGGGGCCGCTCCAGCGGCTTTCCCAGAAATCACGTGGAGCGGCTGTTCTCGGGGGGGGCCCCCCCCTCCCGCCGCCGCGCCTGCGCCCTGCGAGCCCCGGGGCGTCCCGAGGCAGCCGGAGCCGGCACGGCGGGCACGGCCGGGCTGGGCTGGGCGCTGGGAAGGGCTCCGGGAGCCGGACCCGCAGGTGAGGGGAGCAGCCGGACCCGCAGGTGAGCGGGGCTGCCTTCGGGCCTCGGGGGGCGGCGCGGCGCGGTGAATGCCCGCTGCAGCTGGAGCACCTTCAGACTGCCCCCCATTGCCTTTGGCTCGACCACCGAGCTTGGCGCGTCGGTGCCTTCCCTCCCGTGGCAGCGGGAGCCGTCTCCTAACGGTGTTCCTTCCTGGCAGGGGACACACCTGTCAGGGCATCCACCCGCCTCCCGGGCGGCAGCGCTGCGCTTCCATCACCGCGTGCATCTGGCTCCCACATCCTGCTCCCTGAACGCCTTTTGGCTCCTTCCTGACAGCTGCACCTGCTCCGGCGCGTCTCCAGACTCCTAACGCCGCCTGCTCGGGAGCCCCCCAGGAGCGCTCCCCGTGCCCGGGTCGCTGCTCTGTCCCTGTTCCTGCTCTTCCTGCCGTGGCCGCATCGCCGGGCAGCCTCTGCCCAACAGGTGCGGTACCCGCGGGGTGCTCCCACCTGAGCCGGGGCAGGGAGCGGGGGGGACACGGGGAGGGAGCGCTGTCCTTCCCCCCCGGGAGCCGTGCGAGGTGCCGGCGGCAGGACGGGCTGCCCGCCGCCCTTTGCTCCCGAACTGCGCCGCGTGGTCCGGCCGCGATTCCCTGGGAATGGCAGCAAAGCAGGTGCAGGGTGGCCGAGAGGGAGCCCTGGGGTGCATCGAGAAGAGTAAGGCCGGCGGGTCCGGGATGGTGATTCTCCCCCCTCCTCTACTCAGCCCTAGTGAGGCACATCTGGAGTGCTGTGTCCAGCTCTGGGCTCCTCCGTACTAGAAAGATAAAGAGCTACTGCAGAAGGTCCAGTGGAGGCCACAAAAATGATGGTCTGGAGCATCTCTGTTACAAGTAAAGACTATGGGAGCTGGCCCTGTTTAGTCTAGAGAAGGGAAAACAGAGGGGATCTCATTAAATATCTCAAAGTTGGTTGCCAAGAGGATGGTGCCAGACTCTTATTGCTGGTGCCCAGCAACAGGATGAGGAGCAAATACCATAAGCTAAAACTGAAGTTTTACCTCAACATGAGGAAGAACTCCGTTACACTGAGGGTGGCAGAGCAATGGAACAGGCTGCTCAGGGAGAGTCTGGAGTCTCCTCCTCTGGAGACAGTCAGAACCCACCTGGACACCTTCCAGTGCCACCTGCTCCAGGTGACCTTGCTTTGGTAGGGGGGTTGGACTGGATGATCTCCAGAGGTCTCTTACTTATCCCTAATAATTCTGTGATTCTCTGAGTCCGAGCTGAGCTGTGAAAAACACCCTCAAGCACAGTTGTTATGAGGCACACAGACCCACAGTGCTGCAAATCCATCACCCGTTTAGGGGCTTCCAACAGGGCTCCTTTTCTCCAGACACATCTGTGGGCTGTGATCATATTGCACTCGCCTTGAGTAAGGGCAGAACAACAAGAGGGGCTGCCTGTCCTACACCACCTCACTTGTCAGTTTGTCAGTGGCAGGCTGTGCCCTGTGCCCCACTGTAGGTGTCTCTGATGCCTTCTCTATGAAAAGGTATTAACTTGCCCCTTCTTTGTTGTTTCCCTGCTTGCATCCCCAAGGGTCACACTTGCTGCCTTATTACATTGCTCTGTAACCACCTCCTTGAACGGTTCTCTGCCACTCGCAGGTACTTTCCCAGGCTGGTTGTTTTAAGACACAGGAAGATTGGAGTACATCTTCACTTAACCATTAGGGAAAGCAGCAGATTAACTTCATGAATTTAGGCAAATTCTCTCCTCAGCAATGTCACGTTTAACTGTTTGCTGTGGTGCAGCTACAGCACATTCAAATGCTGTGTTACCTGTACTCTGAATAGCATGCACATCAAAAGCCTCAAGGCCTCACTTAAAACATAATAGCATTTTTAACTCTCATTTGCTTCTCGCACATAGCATATGCCACTCAGCATCTGGGAGAACCAGCAAACAAACACAGATTTAGCAGGAAAGCACATAAAAGATAGTCCTTCACCCTGATGGTGCTCTATTATTTGGATAGGTCCTACCACCCTTTTTTTAAAGGTTGTGTATGTGAGTGGATTTGCATCTCACCACGCATGTTCTCAGCCTGTACTGTTCCTTGGACGTATCTTTATGTGCCATTTCCACTAGAACGTGATAATCTGCAGCCTAATGAGAAGACTGACTGATCTGCTGCTAGAAACCAAATGTCACAATATAGAGCCACTCTGTCATAAAAGTGTTATGACTGAGAGAAGCCATGCTGTACAATATTAGTTCATTTAAGTACCTTGTATCTGCTGCACAGATTACTTGAATTTAGCCTGACAGTGTGGTCATGACAACTAAAGCATATAGCAGAAAAAACATCTTTCCAGTACTTCTCCATTTGAAGTGGCTTGAAATCTAGTCCATTTTCAGAGGAGGTAAGTGGGGACACAAGTAGCAAGTGAAAATGAGTGCCTAGAGGGTTCTCTGATTTTTCGCTCTTGCCCTTAGTGATGGGGACTATCAACAGAAGGTGAAACTCCACATACAGGATCTCAGTCATGCAGAGTACAAGTTTCAAACACATTCATTCTCATTCTCATATTCCTGTTAAGCAAGAGAGCAGTAACATGAACCATGCCCTAAATGCCATGAAAAGGCATTCAGAGATAAAAAAAACCAAAAAGCACATTTTCATGTGCTGGAAAAGGTGATTCCAGCTTGGAGTTATTTTTCAGGAAACAGTGCACTGTCTTAATTCATAAATTCCATTTTTTAAAAAATTTAAACAAGCCCAGAAGAAGTTGTATTGTGTTTTAAGGACTAGCATCTAGAACTCTTACAGCTGAAAATAAAATACTTTTGTTTGATGGAAACACTTTTCCTTCCTACTCCTCCCTCTGGTTTAACCCCAGCCAGCAGCTGTGTGGAGCTACCTCACAGCTGCTTGCTCAATTCCCCCTCGTCCCTGTGCAGTGGGATGGGGAGAGAATCAGAAGGGTAAAAGGGAGAAAACTTGTGGGTTGAGGTAAAGACAGTTTAGCAGGTAAAGCAGAAGTTGTGTACAGAAGCGAAACAAACCAAGGAGTTAATTCACTGATTCCCATATGCAGGCAGGTGTTCAGCCATTCCAGAAAAGCTGGGCTCCATCACTCCTAATAGTTACTTGGGAAGACAAACACCATCATGCAAAGTGTACCTCCCGTCCTTCCTTCTTCCCCCAACTTTATATACTCAGCATGATGCCATATGCTGTGAAATATCACTGTGGTCAGCTGGAGTCAGCTGTCCAGCTGTGTCCCCTCCCAAATTCTTGTGCACCCCCAACCTCCTCACTGGTGGGGTGAGGAGCAGAAAGGGCTTGACTGTGTGTGAGCACTGCTCAGTAATAATAAAAACATCCCTGTTTTACCAACATTCTTTCCCAGCAGAAATCCAAAACACAACAGCACGCTGGCTACTGAAAAAAATATTAACCTTATCCCAGCCACAAGCAGCACATCCTCCAATTTTATCGATGTTCATGAAAACTTATAAATGTTATTTTTCACCAGCTCAGTCCAACTACTACTTAAACATTTACACTGATTCTTTTGTCACCCCTTCCTCAGGATGACGACTCAGTGGTATCAGCTACAGCAGCTTGATTCCAAGTTTTTGGAGCAAGTTCACCAGCTATACGATGACAGCTTTCCCATGGAGATCAGGCAGTACCTGGCACAGTGGCTGGAGAACCAGGACTGGTAAGCTTAGAAAAAAAGCCTTTGGGTTGTGTGATAAGCAATTTTCTCATGCGTGCAATTACAGGCAGCAGCAGAACACTGGTGAAATAAGCTGCTTAGGTGAACCTTTGCTGGTAGGATGCATTGCTGTGTGGGTGCTGCAGCCTGTGTTCCTGCCCCTCTTCAGGGCCTTCTAGAGGGACCTGACAGCTGGAATAAAATCGTCCTAGAGCTCATATTGCTCTCATTTGGTCCATAACAAAAGCATCTGTTTTAAGACCGATCAGTTGGTGCCTCGGTAGCTCAGTCTCTCACTGTTCAAAGACTTGGAACTTCTGACAAGATTTTTGTGGAGTGTCTTCTATTTGAAGGGTGGTACACCATGCACATGCATCAGGTTCACTTTTAGATTCCTGATGTGCATGAAGTGAGCAAATGAATTTGCACACAATGTGGCAAGAATAATCCAGAGAAAACCAACATTTCTGTATTGAGGAAAGTAAAGTCAAAGTTAAGAGAATGAAACTGGCTTACATTGGAAAGTTATTCGTACTGCTTGCATATTCTACAAGTGTAGTTGGGGATTAAAAATAAAGTACACCTGTAATGCATTTCTTGGTGCTGTATTGGAAGTGTGTTTAACACAAGCATGCCTTAAATTATTCTAGGGAACATGCTGCCAACAACGTATCTTTTGCTACGGTGTTGTTCCATGACCTGTTGTCACAGCTTGATGACCAGTTCAGTAGATTCTTGATAGAAAACAACTTTTTGCTGCAACACAACATAAGGAAAAGCAAACGTAATCTTCAGGTACGCCGAGGTTCTATACCTATACATTTGCTTGAATTACTTCAGGGGTGCAGGTGGATGCCTCTAAGCAAACCACACTGCCATGAGCGATTTTCACAGACAATGTGTGAGAATTCTACTTTAAAGTCCACAATTCAAATGTCATTTAATTGGCTACACTGAGTTAGAGTTTCTGAGAGCTCTAGGAAAAGAGAAGTTGCAGTTTGTAAGGTGTTTACTGCATGTATTTGGGGCACTTACTCAACTGCAGTTTCACTTAACCCACGCCCTCCCCATTCAGTTTCCTCAGTGTCCTTACAAGCTTCTGACGCAGAAGAAACACAGGGAAAGAAATCCTTCCCATGTAACTGCAGAACTGCCGTTAATAGCAAAGGATTTGTCCTTAGGCAGAACTCTGCATTGCACTGCACTGGCAAAGAAAAGGGCCAAAGCAGTTGGTAGTGAGTGCCAGTGCAGGACGTATCCCTAGTGGACTTATTTATTTCATTAGTCAGTCCTCCACTCATCCCTTTAGGGCTTTATGCCAGAGGGTCTTCCTTCACCACAGCCTAATTTCCACTCACTGAGCTTCTGCTCACCACAGGTAGGTGACCAGGGGACTGTTTTCTGAGAAGAGAACATGACGTGTGTTTATACCACAGTAATTAGAGATCAGCAGTAACAGATCAGTTAAGAAGGCTGGCACAGCTCAGCGACCCCCAGGGCAGCACCATCCTGAGCAGAGCAGGGCAGTATCAATCCACAGCACATTCCAGCTTTGTACACGTGTAAAACAATAGGGTTGAATTTGCACCCAGCCTTGACCACGTGTGGCAGCTGATATACCTTCTTTACATCACTGAGCAAGAACTGTACCTGCCAGGCTAGAACACTGCCCTTCAAAACCAGCAGCCATACGTCAGAGGGTGGGAGGGCAGCTCTCGAGAGATGAGCTCTCTTTAGGACTGTAGGGGAGTATCTCTCTTCTCCCAGCAATATCTCTGCCCCTTGCCTGTTGTTTTGTCCCAGTCCCATCTCACTGTATGCTGATGAACTAAAGTAGAAACTCACTCTTAGAGCTGGTTGCAGCTGCCATACCCTGTAGTCTTGGAGCAGGCTATGACCACACAGTCACTCACTAATCTCTTTGCCAATCTGAAGGTTACTGAATGACAAGAAATTATGTGTATGAATTTAAACAATAGACTAATGTCTCTAATGCTAGGATAACTTCCAAGAAGACCCAATGCATATGGCAATGATCATCCAGCACTGTCTGAGAGAAGAGAGGAAAATACTCAACAGTGCCCAGCTGTCAAATGAGGTAACAGTCTTGAAGTGTCTGCTGCAGTTTCATCTGCCCTTTCTTATTATTTGGGACAGGGGGAGTGGATGAAGACTGAAAAGGGAAACAGGCTGTACTCTCTCTGCCCAATAATATGTTTCTTAAAGACAGAGGAGTGAGCACTGATATGTACCAGCTGGAGAACACTGACACGCTCCAGCTGGACAGCATGGCTTGTTTCTGCTTTATGAAGCATTTGGAGAAGAAATGGTCTGGAAATAATTTTTATTCCTTGAGTGATGTAAAAGCTATGCTGTTTTTTTAATGCTTCTGTAGTATGATGTAGCCTGATGTGTTAATTGGATTTTATTTCAATAATTAATGCTTATCTTATTTATAGAGCAAGATTTTAGCTTTGTTCTGCATTTTATTCCTGAATTTACTCTGTATTAAGCCGCTAAGCTTAATGCTTTTCTGGACTGTCTGTTTGGGAAAATGAGGCATCATTCTCCTTCCCATTTATCTCCAAGTTTTGTTTTTTTTTTTTATTTTTGGTGATTTGGGGTTTTTTGGGTTGTTGGTTTTTTGTTTTGTTTTTCAATGAAGCCCTTTTCTTTCCTCTGAATCACAGAAGGCCATATTCTTCTCCTTCCTCATCCATTCTTTCTTTTTATTTATTTTTTATCATTTTTTTTTCCTTTGAAAGAACTGTTTTGCAATAAAGATTCTGCAATTGGGAAAGGCATGCAAAATACATAGATAGATGTGATCCACTTATGCAGAAATAAAATGAGGACTGACCAAGAACATTAAGTTCTGATACTCACTTTCTGGCAAGTTTTTGAATGAGTATTGATAGTGTGGGATGAGCACTCGGGCATGGGGTCACTGCAACAGTGCCCAAAACAGCTCCTGTAAGAATGTGACTCTGACAGCTGCAACAGCTCTTCAGTTCTGTCAAGTGACATAAAGCTACTGCATTTCCAGTACTTGATAAATTTGGGTCATCAGAAAGGGCAGTGGAAGCATAGAATGGTTTGGGTTGGAAGCGACTTTATAGATCATCTCGTTCCAACCCCCCTGCCACGGGCAGGGACACCTTGCTCAAAGCCCCATCCAACTTGGCCATCACTTCCATCCCTGTTTAAGGTTGGCACTAGGTACAACACCACACCCTGCCTCTGCTTTCTGGTGAGTGCTCTCATTTCCAAAAGCTGAGAAGATAAAATACAAAACAAGCACAATAATAAGCATCATAAAAACCAAAGGAGAATCCCAAGTGTCAGAGCACGGTAAGATTGCTGTAACAGTCTGACTTAAGTCTAGGATGGGGTAAACCTTTGTTAGCTTACCAAAATAAATAATTTAGATGACCTCAGCTTAAGCTGAGGTGTTCATCAGAGCAGAGATGCAAATCTGACTGCCGTGCACCGGAGGAACAGGAAGTTTCTAACACCACTAGTTCTGTTAATGAAAAATCCTGTCTTTCACATTACTGCAACTGAGTGATGTCATGCAGTAAGCTTCCTGAAGCTTTCAAAGAAACTATACAGAGATGTAGAGTGTGCTTGAATACCCTGTAGGAAAACAGCTGCATGCTAAGTTACCCCTTATGCCTGCACACAGACCTATATTGTTCTTGCTCTTAGCCCATTTCTCCCCATATCCTGTATGGATGAATCTAATACTTGATGTAAACGTCATACAGGCTTCAGGGTGGTTGTTTTCTTGAACTACATTTAGGAGACACATGAAGCTAAGCAAACAGAAGAATGGATTTGTGCAGAGAAAAAAAACAGATATTGCTGTGATGAAAAAAGTGCAGCATCGCCACACAACAGGCATTTTTAATCCTACCTTGTTTCTTGCAAATTCTCCTGATCTTGATTTTATACTACAAAACCTTAGTATGATTTACCAGAACAAGCCATGCTTCCTCAGGTTGTTTGCCAGCAAAAGCCACTAACCTCCATTAACAAAAAAAGTATTTGGTGTCACTCTGGTTTAACTTCTGTTGTTGCCTTTTCTCCTTTCTCAGATGGAAGTAGGGGGCATACAGAACACTGTGATTGGGATGCTGGACAAACAGAAGGCACTTGATACCCAAGTTAAGGCTGTGAAAACCAGTGTTTTAGTAAGTATAATACAACTTTTCATAGTAGTGTTTGTTGATTTGATACATGTCTAAAAGCTTTCAGTACATAAGACACGATAAAATGACAAAAATAAGGTAGTGGTTTGATTTTCAAGTCTAACCAGTGGTTGTCTGAAGACAAAAATTATTTGTCAGTAGCACCATAATACAGATTAGTATTTAGTAGTTTACCAAAGTCAAATTTCTTGGGCCTAAGTTTTTGCAACAAAAACATTTTGCCCATCTGAAATTCTAGCAACCAAGGAAAATCTCCTAAATCATATACAGAGCGATTTGTTGTTAACTAGAAGAGGTACTTTTTTTATATATAGATGCTTGTTGTCTTAACAAATACAGTCACAACAGAAAGTTTTCTCCAAACATTACTTAAGAATTAGAAAGTTTAAAATGCTGTGTGCTGTTCTAAGTTTTTCCACTGTAGCCTAGGTTCTCCTAAACTTTGTGAACTTACGTGGCTAGACAAAGACATTTCTAGATTTTATAAGGAACAGATTTCAGTTAGCTGAGACTAAAGAAGGAGAGTGAATAGAAGGTGATGAAGTTTAGGGATATTTCCTGTTAGGGAGTTCCAGGAAAAAGCATTGCTGCAGAACTGGACTTCATGTCTGTAAAGGGCTGGTACCAGGCAGTGCCTTGCATTACTTGAAAATACTGAATAATTGTGGCCACATTCATTTGTGCACTACAGGATGTGGAGCAGGACATCAAGACATTAGAGGATATGCAAGATGAATATGACTTTAAATGTAAAACCTGGCAGAACAGAGGTGAGTAATTCTTATATTGCATATAGTTTGTCAGAGTAATATCCTGACACAAGACAGCAGAGTTTAACTTAATGATGCACAGCCAAACTTACTTGGTAATGTCCCTACTTTATTAATTCTGCTTTATGCCGAAATGGTTTCTGAAAATGCATTTTCTGCATCTGTCTTTTGTTACAGGTACAGAGCCTCCTTGTTAACACAATATTCTTTTGTCCTTTACATCCCTTTGCCAATGGAAGTAGCAAACCCTATGTGACCATTCAACCATACACGTAATTAGTGTAGTTAATCTTAATTACTTCACTGGGGCAGTGGCTTTTCCTTGCATAAATGCTTTAAGTGCAGACTCTGCCCTTTCAGCAACGGAAAAAGAGGAATCAAAAAAATCTGGGAGGCAGTAAACATTTCTTCCCTTAAGCTTTAAAGATACACTTCACTTGACATTAGCCAGGCCAGTCCTCTTCTCCCCACAGCATTTCCCTCACCTGTACTTCAGCACTCCCTCAGCCTCAGCTTTATGTTCACAATTTGCATTTACTTTACAGAACACGACTCCAATGGAGTGTCTCAGGAGGAGTATAAGAAAGAACAGCTGAATCTCCAGAAGATGTTTTTATTACTTGACCGCAAAAGAAAGGTAGTGCTCAAATTTTCTTATAGAAGTCAAAAGGTCTTCATTTTAAGCAAATGTTCATTTTCATTGAACTGACATAAACTTGCAGTAGAAATGGGGTTTTCTAATATATCAGTTGAAGGGAGATTTCATTCTTTCCATCCTGTTTTAAAATTTAGAATTTCTGTAAGCAATTTTATTTCTCTTCTAGCAACCTTTATCAAACTCTGTCAGGTAAAGCTAAGAGAACAATGAGAAGGAAAAGGCACCATACCAATAATTATGTTCTTGAGGAAAAAGTTATTAAAAATCTGCACTATATTAGAGTTAAATATACTCTCATTGCAGCGCTCAGGTCTACGGCAAGCATTGGGTGAGCCCAAATGTACACTGAGAACATACATGGATGCAAGACACTGGCTCTTCAGAGTTCAGCTATACTGAATGTGTTTTGTTTCTCCACTTAATCTAGCAAATACTCCACCAAAAAAAAAAAAGTGCTTTTAGGAAACATCCTCTGTTGACAGAATCTATTACTGAGGTGTTTAAACGGTTTTGCAAGACAGATGAGCGCTAACTAAAACAATACTTAGTTTTTGTGTATGAAGTATTTTTAATAAACGGGTTTATTTCATTCTCTCTGTAGGAAGTGGTGAACAAGATAGTACAGCTGCTGCACAACACAGAGCACGCACAGACTGCTCTTATTGATGAGGAGCTGGTGGAGTGGAAGCACAGGCAACAGACAGCATGTATTGGTGGCCCACCCAACGCCTGTCTTGACCAGTTACAGAACTGGTAAGCCTCTGGTCAAGAGCTGCATTGAAAGCATGTTATGAAGGAACACCAGATCTAGGAAATATACTGATTATTTATATTATGCATTTTCATTCTGTCACAGTATAACTATATTTCATGCATTTTATTACCTCATCACACTTCCAGTGAGCATGAAGTGTTCTCTGTGCGCTGCCTGGTCCTTAGGGACAGTCACCTGGCTGATGTCTCTGCATTATCGCAGTGCAAAAACATGCTAAAAGTAATGAGATTGTGTAATTGTAGGTTTACCATCGTTGCTGAAAGTCTACAACAAGTTCGTCAGCAGCTCAAAAAGCTTGAGGAACTGGAACAGAAGTTTACCTATGAGTCTGATCCCATCACAAAAAATAAACAAGTTCTGCAAGACCGAACACACAATCTCTTCAAACAGCTCATCCAAAGGTAATGGACCAGAAGAATCTTTTTTGTGTTTGCATGAATAAATAGGTGAAGTGCACCTTCCCTACTGTTCCCTCACTATTTCACAAATCCTAACTCTGCATTTCATGAGGTTTTCCCTGAGTTTGTCACAAACATTAAGTTACTGATTTTGAGATTTATGCACTCTAGGGTTTCCAGAGGTTCAAGCCCATGGAAAGGGTTTGTCATCAGTCATTACTGAAGATAGCAGGAGCTTTGCTAAAGGATGCATTGATTTACAGAATCAAACTCCTACTCTTTTAGTCCATTTCTTGCTTCAAGCTTCAGCGCTACAAAGTTCAAGTAAAGAGAGGCAAGAAACAATCCACACCAAGCTATGTCCAAAATAAATACACACTAGATTCTCCAACCCTTTGTCTCTGGACATATCCTCTTTGCCTTCAGCACAGGGAAGCCAGCCCTGTCTCTATATCATCTCTATGATGAAAGCTACTGTAGCTGGTAATTGCCCACATAAGATCAGAGTCCCAGTCTATAAATATATAGTAAACAAAAATGAACGCTAGAGAAGACTGGAATCTAGCAGATAAGAGCTAGAGTAATCAACACAGTAATCAACACCCTCTTATGGTGGCTAGAACCCAGGTTTCCAGAGTCCCATTCAGATGCTTTGATCACTGATCCTCAGCTGAAAAACACAGGTACTGCTTTTCAGTGAAGTGAGGCAAGGAGGAAAACTGTAGAAATAGAGCTGCTGTTTATGTTTCTTGCCTGTGAGTACAGTGGAAGAAAAAGTCTCCACGCTACCAAGATTTATGTCTACATAGCACAGTGCTACACAGAAAGTGCCTGAGCCGGCCAGTTTGGGGTGTATAGGAACAGGTTAGCCTCAGAAGTTTGCTCTGGGGGGTTAGCTAGCCCTCATCAAATCCCCAACTAGCATATCTATCTCTTGGACATGTGTTGTTACTTAACACTGTCACCATAAGAACTCAGCAAGCCCAGGGAACAGCAAACAAAGCAACACTCCTCACTGGGACTGTGCTAATTACATCACAGTGTTTACTTGCTGTTGATTTCAGAGAAGTTTGACGTAGCAATCTCCCTACTCAAGCCATCAATGCATTTAAGAAAAGCCAACCCTTATGAAATCACTTCTCACTTGCAATATTTTTAGTTGCATTGGGACATTTGAAAGGAAAAGACACACACCTCTGTGTGAGGTGATGAATTAGTGAATGAATTAAGTGTATAGTACTAGTGTAAATCACCATTCTTTAAAGTTTGCTTTTTATGTAAGTTCTTATTTCTTATGGACAACACTGATAAATCAAACTGCTTTTAATCTGTTCATTCATAGCTCCTTTGTGGTTGAGAGGCAGCCTTGCATGCCAACACATCCCCAGAGACCACTAGTCCTGAAGACAGGAGTACAGTTTACTGTAAAGCTGAGGTATGTTTCCCTCCTTCCCTGTTTCCTTTTCGTGGTGAGGCTCTCATGTCATTGGCTTCTCACAGCTGAGAGGATTGCACAGCTTGCACTGCAAGCCCAAGTGCTGAGGTCAGGAGGAGGAAAGTGCCATGTGCAGGGGGCTTTCTTCCAGCAGAGCTTAACTCACATCCAGTTTTTACTCTTTACCAGAAGTGGGGTGTGTAAGATGGAGTGTGTAAGAAACACAGCAAAACAGCAGACACATGCAGATCACTTTGTCATGCCAAAGAGTAACTCATTTGCTCACTGAATTTCATCTCTAAATGCTGCCTTGTATGGAACAAGCTTGAAGCCTGTATGTGGCCCTGAGTGTGCCGCTTAAATATCTGTGATAAGCAATGCAGTAGAAGAGAACCCATCTTGTGCAATTGCTGACATTAAAAAAATATTTCTCTTTTCAGACTGCTGGTGAAATTGCCAGAATTGAACTACAACTTGAAAGTGAAAGTTTTATTTGATAAGTAAGTTACATTTTTTCCATTCCTCTATACACTAATGGTAAACAGTCACCATGTTCAGAAAACAAGGGACAGTCATAAGTGCTGAGTAGGCCAGGAGCAGGCTGTGTCTCCACAGCAGCAGCTATTATATCCTTGCCTTTTTCTTACCCGTGCCCTTGGTCTAAATCTCTCTCTCTGCCATTAGAGAGATGTCACGAAGTACAGATGGCCTCAGCTTCTTGCCACCAGCTCCACTGAGCAGCTCACTGCTGCTAAATCAGGCTGGGCACAGGGCAGCACCCAGGCAACAGCCACTCCTCTGCTGTGGGTGCTTCACCTGCAGTAGCACAAGATGAAAAGATGGAATTGAACTCCACCATTTCCAGTCACATAATTCAGTCATGTCTCTAAAATACCTTTTTGGGTAGCCTGTAGAAAGGAACTGTAGTTATCCTAAAGCTGTCCTTGAATTAGGGGTATAAGCAGTCTACCTGTAACACAGGACATGATCTCAGAGAGAAAAAAAAACAAACAGCAATCTAAACAGACTAATACCAATCTTCTGTATTTTTATAAACAGTTCAGGTGAATTTACATTTCTTTCCCTTCATTAAAGTAACAGGCTCTTCAGAAAAACAACAGGGACTATGCTTTTAAGAAACCAAGTGGGTTTTTGTCTTCCCAATCAAGTAATTTTGTTCTTGAAATGGCTCTGGGGTCCAGAAACTTGCATGGAATAGGGAAAAGGGAAAACATTCCTATGTGGACGTGGGAGTTGGAGCTTTGAGAAGTGCACCAGACAGATTGCCACTCAGTAAAATCCCAAGTGGTGGGAAAACTGATTTAAGTGATGCAGCAATTTATTCAACAAGTTATGTGGTTTAAGAGCAGACCTAGAGTGACAGAACTATATTTTTTGTCCTCAGAGCAAGAGTTAAAACCTACATAGTAAGAGAAAGGACTTCCTTTGATTATAAAACCCCCGATAGCAACATTTAAGCCTTGGTAAAAAACACCCTCTGTGTAACACAAGATTTACTTCCTCTTTTGCACAAAAATGTCACAAAAGCATTTTAGCACTTCTCAATCAGTTCTGACAGCTACTAGAACAAACACATGCATTTTCTCTGTGGCAGAAAGCTTTAAAATGTTTTTGTCTTTTTTTTCTTTCTTGACAGAGATGTAACTGAGAAGAACTCAGTGAAAGGGTATGTGGCATCACACTTTGATATATTAATGTTAGGTTCTTTCAATGAATGCGAGACTTAATTATTTTTTCTCTCTCTCTTTGTGAAGGTTCAGGAAGTTTAATATTTTGGGAACAAGCACAAAAGTAATGAACATGGAAGAATCCACTAATGGAAGTCTAGCAGCAGAATTCAGACACTTGGTAGGAGGTTTTTTTTTCTTTTATTGATACAGCCATTTAATTTTGTGGGTAGAGAGTGTAGTAGGAAGGAAACAAATTGCTTTTGTTATTGAAGTAATTACTTGCTTTTGTGTAAGAGGAACTGTGATTATTTCTTTTTTTGCGTTCTTCCCTTTTTGAAATATTTGGCCTGTTGCAAGTAAAATGCAATTGCTTGTCACTGAAACAGGGACAGAAGTGAAAACTGGAGTATTTGCTGCCATACAGCTTATGCTGCAATGGGTTCTTTGGAGGAGGAAGAAAAAAAAACACCTAGAAATGTTGGTTTGGGCCCTTTAAACAAAGGCCCATGGGTAGGAAAGTTTAAAGAGCTTTGAGTCTGGAAGATGAAAATTGTCTAGGAGTGGGCAGCTAGAAGGAAGTCAGTGCCTTCAACAGTCTATACAATGCTTTTGATCTGCAGATTGTGAGAGAACAGATTGGTTTCATCATTAAAAGGAAAGGAAAAATGCAAGTGCAGAACCACTGAACACGGAAGTCTCCCTTCATTGTCCAGAACAGAGACTGCCCAGAGCTTATCATCCAGTTCAGAGGTGTTCTTTGATAAGCCAGTATTTCACCTGATCCTGATTTCATACTGCTTCTGCTCCTAAAAGGCCTCTTACATAAAGGCATTACATCATAACTGTGCAATATCTATTTTCACAGATGAAAAGTAGATGGAAGAGTTGTAGTTACCTACAGTTTACTGCTTTGGCTTCCACAGCTTAGAACCAAATAGAACCAGACACTAGCAAGTTTGCATCCAGTTGAGCAACTAGAGCATGCAGACATTTCTATCCTGTACCACTTCCATCTGTGGCTGATGGAAATGAGTGACAGGGGTTTTTGTTTGTTTGCAGCAACTGAAAGAACAGAAAAATGCAGGAACCAGAACAAATGAGGTAAGCAGCACTAACCTTCTCTTTTTAAAGTTTTTTTATAATTCTAAAAAGGCATTCAGGCATTTAAGGCAGTGCTCCCTGCTCAGCCCCATGAAGACACACACAGGATGACAGATCATAGGGGAGGAGTTCAGTGTTCCTAGAAAGTGGTCCACGTAGGAGGTGTCTGCAAGTGAGAACTACTGCCAGAATGGCAATGGGGCACTCTCCCTCCCTGGCATCTAGCTTTAACAGGACTTTCTGGCAAGCACAGATTTTTTTCCTATGGCTTCTAGGCAGTAGCCAAAATAAAAAGTACCTAGGGAGGCAATTTTAACAAGTCAGCATTGTCACTTGACTTTGCCCTATAAGCTATTACTGAGGTCTAGAGCGGATAACCATGGGCAAAAAAAAGAGTTTTCTTTGTTGTAAAACCTTCACCCTTGGAATTTGCAGTCCCTGAAAAGTTTTCTTTTACTTTTTGTTTTTTTAAAGGGTCCTCTCATTGTAACAGAAGAGCTTCACTCTCTGAGTTTTGAGACACAGCTGTGCCAGCCTGGCTTGGTAATAGACCTAGAGGTATGTCTTAGATGAAACAGATGGACTTAAATTCCTGTATGTCACTCATTCTGACAAATCTAAACTTTTTTTTTTTTTTCAAGTAGTGGGATATCAAGCACTTTCAGTTATTTCAGAGTATGTGAATGACACTTCCTACCTCTGTATTGACACATTCAGTGAGAATGCTGTCAGATCTCTGGGTAAATAAGAGTAGATGTGCTGTGTAAAGCGTTTGATAACCAACCCTGTAGTTTAAGCCCTCTAAGTATCAGTTTCCATTTATTTCAGAAGCAATATGCTATGAACTCTGCTGTTACTATCATCAGGACTGTCATAACTGACACTAAATCAAAGTCTTTATTAGAAGAAAAATCACCCAAGTCTCTCTAGTGTTTCATCATACTGACATTTTCTCCCCTACATACAAACTTCGACTGAAAAATTTAAAACTACACAAGCAGAGAATTAAAATGGAAATGGGTTTGTGGGTAATCTCAAGGAAGATTGCAGCAGCAGAACAGGGTAGCCTGACATGTTTCCTTTTGTGCCCCTTTCAGACCACATCCCTTCCCATTGTAGTGATCTCAAACGTGAGCCAGCTTCCCAGTGGATGGGCTTCTATCCTGTGGTTCAACATGCTGTCTACTGATCCCAAGGTATTTGCAAGAAAAACATGGCATCACATTTTATGTCTGTATGCAAGGGGCTGCTGCACTTTGTTTTTTTCCCCTGCAGATGACTCTTAACTTCCAGGTGTAGGGAGAGGCACAATTACTTCCCTATCCTAAACAGAACAGTGTTTGAAACCCACTTAAGGGTAGTATAATGCATTCTGTATATACAGAACACACTGAGAAGCCAAATAAACATACAAGAACTAGAATATGGTGCACTTGAGTAATCCAGCAATTCTGGGAAAAGACATGTCCAAAGCTGAGCCCCAGAGAGAGCTTTTCCTGGTACAGAGTGCCTGTCAGAACAGGAGCCTGTTTTTGCAGAACTGTCTCAAGCTGACATCCATTCTTGAATCTGTATTTTGTTTTGGCAATATGCTTTTAAAACCCCAAGTGGCATTCCAAAATTAATGTTTATTAACTATAGGTTGTATTTTTCTTTTCCATTCTAGAACTTGTCCTTCTTCCTGAGTCCACCTTGTGCAAAGTGGTCTAAACTTTCTGAAGTTCTGAGCTGGCAGTTTTCTTCTGTAACAAAGAGAGGACTTAATGCAGATCAGCTGAGCATGCTGGGAGAGAAGCTCCTTGGTATGGTCTATTTTCATCACAGATGGCCTGTTTGAATTAAAGCTAATTCTGCATCTTTTCTACAATCCATTTTAAGTTCTCATTCTGTTCCCATGCCTTTACTGCTTATACAACATCACTCTGGAGCAATGAAGCATTTTCCACTTTTCAGTATGGTAGAGCTTGTAAATGAGATCAGGTCATGAAAAAACCCTGCAGTTCTAACTTAGGAGTCTCATGCATTAGAGCAAGGCAGATTGGGGTTACTTCTGCCTTTTTAAGTAACGCTCGTGTTTAGTCAGTCTTTGAAGTGGCTGTTGCTTGGCATCTCTTTGGCCTTGTTTTTAAATCCACCTCCATTCATTTTAACTTCCTGCATGCCCCCAACCAGAGTCAGGGTTTACTCTGTCTGCATAAACACACTCGCAGTATTAAAGTGCAAACACTACGGAACTGCTAAAGGATATCAAATTGAACAACTCCCAGATGACTGTGCTTAGTAAAAGCCCCAGAGTTTTCTATCCAAACTCCTTGCAGTTTGCCTGATAGCCGGGGCACTGATCTTGCATAGCAGACTCTAGATAAAAATACTCTTGATTCAGTATATTCCACCAACCTAAACTTTCAGAAAGCATTTATATTTAAAGGTATTTGACATTAGTGTGTCTAGGTGGCAAGTACAGCATTCCAGGCTCTAACTCCCTTCCTCTGATTCCCCTAAGACATAAGATCTGACAAAAATCAACTGATTTAATAGATTACCTTTCAAAATTCTGCAAAGAGAATGTTTTAATTTAATTAACCAACATGCAAAGAGACCAAGGACTTATTTCTACGGTCAGCTTGCATTTCAGAACTGCAGAGACTTTGTCAAGCTCTGGTAACAGTAGGAATGCTACTTTTATCTCTGTAGATAAAAATAAGTCCTGGTCATTGAACACTATATATTCAGGATTCCTTAGTGCAAGGAGACACAGAACCAACAGGGTGCCAGGATACAACTTGCCTACTGTTCTTGCATTGTGAAAGTTGACAGAATCTTGATCTCTTAACAGTAGCAGCATCAGAAATGAGCCCTCTAAATCAGTTTATTTTTAGAAGGACAAGAGGGAAAAGCATATTTATTGAAAGCCATAGTATGATCTCAAATGGAAAGAATTTGGCTACAACTACAGTTGGGGTCTGCAAAGCTCCAGCTACTGTAGTCACAGTTAGGATTTTTCTTTGTGGTTTGGATGTGATTATGAAACACTATTGACATAAAAAGAAGGCCAGGGGAAACAATTGCACCAGGAACAAGATGAGTCTGTAGCTGGGGTAGAGCTAGAGTCGAGAGTTTCTGGGGCAAAACCCTGCAAGTCACCAGAACAGAGACAGGGAAGTGCTTAATCTCAAAGATATTCTAAAGTCTGCACCTACAGAAGACCTTGTGGGCTGCAGTCTTCTTATTTTGCTGGAAAGAACTGTGCAAGCTTTCAGTCTCCTTCCTGGAAGCATTTTGAAACTGGCAAGTGTTAGGTGTAGCACAGCATAGAAAGTGTCAATATGAACTGGTTCCCATTATGCGAGGTCTGCTTAATAGATTTGGTTGTCTTAAAACCTCACCAGAGGGGAACTTGCAAGCACAGTAGCCTGCCCCTTCCTTTTCTGTCTTGGTCCAACAGCTGAGTTGTACATAAACACTCAGAACCTGGTTCTTTAAGTACTTTTAGCATTACTAAGTAAATTATGGAACATAACTGAAATCAGTTTATTGTGTTCAGGGCAAACAAGCGGAGGATCTCACGATGGCCTTATTCCTTGGACAAGATTCTGCAAGGTATGAGCAAAGTTTAAAATTTGAAATTTAAAAATTGAAGAAACTGATTTTAGTTTGTTGTGGGTTTTGTTTGGGCATTTCTTGTTTGTTTTTCCCCTAGGTTACTTTCTTTTTTAGTAACATACCCTAATTATTCTAAAGCTGACGTGGTCATGGGAGGTTTTGGTGGTGGGGTAAAGTGGCAGCACAAGGAGGAAAAAGGGCTTGCAACAGCAAGGAGAAGATGAATTTGAGATTCCTTTAGATCCATGTAAACTCTATAGAAAAAAAATGCATCTTTCAAACTCACCATCTTCATTATTATTAATACAGTGGCTATTAACAGAATAGTTCTCCATTTTGATTATTACAGAAAACGTAAAAAAAACAACCAGCAAGATGAACAGTTCTTCTCTATCATGGCGAAGGACATTTCCCAGACCAGGGGCAATTGGATTAGGGTGAGAATTAGGACAGGGTGGCCAAGAGGATCAGCACAATGACAGAAAACCACATCATGATATTTCAAACCCCTGGCTGCCATAAAACAGGAGGACTCTTCATGTTTTGTTTGGTTTTAGACCCTTTACTGCTATAGATAAGCCAGAGATTACAGCAGGCAGGAGCAGACTCCAGGGGAAGAGCTAAATTCTGGTGACCTACAAGCACTTGAATTCATTAATATGGGTGTCTCATGAGAAACTGAGAACCAGGTCTGAACTGAAAGTGTCTCTAAGCTCATCTGCTAGCCAGCCTGGGCAAAAGTCCCAGAGGATGGTTTGAATGTCCAAGAACTCCAACAAGAACAGTGTCCAGGCACAAACAAAAGTCTTATCTGCACTTAGACCGGTGTTGCTGCACATGAGAGGTGATGGATCACATGTTTGTGGGTACTGTAGGCTCAGACAGGCATTTTTCTTGCCTTAAGATTCATTAGCAATGGTCCCTGTCCTTCTGGAGAGACAGAAAAAGGCATAAGAGAATATTGATGGGGGGAGGATACAGAGGAGAGGGACAAAAGCGCAAGACCAAGTAGATACTGGCAGGATTGAAACCTTGCTTTCCCCTCTGCTGCTTAACGAAACTCATGTCTTATTACCCCTGTTCTCTCCCATCCCACTCCTGCCTTTCATATTCTGAATTTCAGGAAAATATAAATGATAAAAACTTCCCCTTTTGGCTGTGGATTGAGGGAATCCTGGAGCTTATTAAGAAACATCTGCTGTGTCTCTGGAATGATGGGTAAGACCTGAGTGAAGTTAAAAATGTGGTCATTGCCTCAGACCTCTCATTTAGGCTAGCAGTTCCATCCTCATGTTGTGAGGTTGTTTGTGCAAGTGAATTCCAGTAGTGAGGAAGCCTCTGATGAGGCAACTGCTAAAAGCAAGAACATCAGATGACCAAATTGTCCCCTTTAAGTCACAGAGCAGGGCTTGGAATGTAAGACTATATTTTGTTTTGCCTCTGCTCCCACTGTAAGGGGGTTCTTTCCACACCCTAGAACAGAACCAAGGAAAACTGAAGAAAGGATAAGTCATAAAGTGACCATCCCTCTTAAAAAACCAAAAACCCAAATCCCCTACCCAAACAAACACTATTGTGAGCCGCCTGGAGGTGGCAGCAGCCAGACTCTGAACGCCTATGCCTGTACCTGCACTGTGCACACCCAGAACACAGCAGTCTTCACTGATGCTAAGGGTATTACTAAGTAGAAGGACTCTGCCAGATGGAAGCATAGCCCTTTAATACTGCTTCAGTAAACTTTTGGTTCTGGGATTTCCGATTTCTGCCAAAACTAGGTTCATCCAAAGTCAAATCCTGCATTTTAGCTTTAGCCACATTACAAAACCCCATCAAATAGCACAATCACAGTGGAGCCTCCTGGTATCCCAGAGTCTGCAGGATCTGTAACAGCGAGTTTGCTTCATCTTGCTACATTCAGCAGCAGGCTTCACATTATTACCCCCCAGCTCCAGATGAGTTCTGTCAAAGCCCTCTGTAGCAGGCTTGTTTCACTGCCCAAACCCTGCCTATTTCTTTGCTAAGTAGCCTGCAGTGCAGTGGGAACATTTGCCACCACTGCTGAGGCAGAATTCCAGTTCCTGTTTAGTGTTCCACCTCAGTGTGGTGATGTGGGATTGCTTTTGCACGTGGCTTTGATACAGGCTTGAGTAGCTCTCAGCTGTGAGAGCAATCCCCCATTTAGGATTTAACAGAAAGAGGTGCAAGTTAAATCCTGAATGTAATCAAACTCAGAGATTTAGTACTATTAGCTTTTCCTCTCTCAGCAGGCCTTGTTGGACAGTCACAAATAATTTGTTTTCCTAGAAAGGCAAAAGGAGAAACCAAAGGAAAAAACTGTCCAACTACAAAGATATTTCAGTGGGAAAGAGACAAATCCACAGCATTCATTAGGACAGAGACTCTCCTGCATACAAGAGTAAGCATTACAGCTTCAAGAACACTTGCCTTTCTTTGTACTTGGAGATAAGGCAACAAAAGACTTCCATTATACACAGGATATTGACTACTGAACACGTTTGTTATCTAAACGACGCCATTAAACGCAAATAAAACACAAAGCTCACCAAACAAACCCCCAAAGCCCCATAAAACAGGACAGCTTTACAGCATCTGAAATTCTAATCAAAATCACGATCATTTAGTACTTTTTGTGCAAAACCCACTTTTCCCCTGACTTAAAGCACACAAAGGCAGCAGTAGTACTCAAAAGTTCATTATTGATGCAGCATTTTGAGGAATAAGAAGCAGTGCAGAGAAACTCTGACCTTGGGGGGAAAAAACCCCAAAACAACAACAAAAAAACCAATCAATAACCAACAAATAAACAAAACACAAACAGCTAGAGCTTGGCCAGGTTTATGCCTTGGAACTGACTTGAACAACTGCCCCTCAGTACCTGTTCAGATCAGTCAATCTTTTATAATTACCACATCAGCCTCCTTGCCTATGCAGTAACATTTGCTGAGCATAGTGAGTTTGGGGGGTTGAAGTCACACAGGATTAACAGTTCACCTAGAAAACGTGCACTAGGAACAGAGCAAACACCAATGCAAGCTCGTAGCTAGCAACCTTTGTTTCAAAAGCCAAACAGGAGAACTAATTGTTCCTTAACATACTTCAGAAGTTAAAACTAACTTCTAGCTGGGTTCTGACCATATTACCCGCATATAATTCCCCTTCTGCTCCCACAGCCCAGCTTTGACAGCAAAAAGGACAGTCACTTTTACTCTTAAGTTCAAAAAAATGTTTGTACAAGCCACCAGGCCAAATTGAGAGTGCTGAGGGAAGCTGGGGTGATTCATGGCTTCCACAGGGCATGAATCACCACCTGACTCCAGCCTGGCAGCCCTACTGCTAAGCTTTCCAGCTGTTCTCAGGACAAAGCCTTCTGTGGGGCATTTTCAAGAACTTCAACTCTTCAGTGACAAAAGCTGTTAAATTTTCCTAGCTAGCCCAGCACAGCTTAGGTTTCATGTTGAGGAGTAACTCAGCTCTTTCTTTTCAACATTACAGCTGCATTATGGGTTTCATCAGCAAAGAGAGAGAACGTGCTTTATTGAAGGACCAGAATCCAGGAACGTTTTTACTAAGATTCAGTGAAAGTAGCAGAGAGGGAGCAATCACGTTTACTTGGGTAGAGGGATCTCAAAATGGTAAGTCAGTCAGTTACTCTTTGTTGATCTGCTTACATCAGAACAAAAAGTGTTTATGCTCTTCTCCTCCCCACTGAGGACCAGTACAACACACCACCCCAGCAGCCCCCACCCTTACAAGCAGCAGGCCACAAGCAACAGGAGGCACATGCCCCCAGTGGATTGTTCAAGGTTTCAGCTAGGACTGGCAACACTTCCAGGGTACTGCTTCTGGCTCGGAGATTTCACAGGAAACACTGCCCAGACTGTGCCCCCCCTGCCTCCTTAGGGTCTCTCCTGGCAAAACACTTTTAGCCCTCGTGCACCTGCATTTTCTTCCAAACCCATATCACCGTCATCAGAGAGTCCTTTCCAAAGAAAAGGTCACTACAGCCACTTTCATCATTACTGTTCTCTCCTCGTACATCTTGTGTGCAACACTCCTTTCCCAAACTGCTTTCTTTAACTCACAGCCCATGGAACATCTGTCCTTCCTCCCCACATCCCCCCCAGGTAAACGACGCGTTCACTTACTTCATTTTCCAAGCAGTTCTCCTTCCTTCCATTGTCCAGAAGAGCCAGTGAAGACCTCCTTCAGTTAGCTGGACTGCTTTCTCATCCTCTCTCAAAGAAACCTGGGGACACCACAGCTGCAAAAAGATATAACCTCCCTCATATCCAGTCAGGGCTCTCCCCTTATCCAATCAGAGCTCTCCCCTCATTATACTAATAATGAGCCCCACCTGCCAGCATGGTGCAGCTGTGGACACTTCACTTGGATGAGCCCCAAACGTGCTACAGCTGGAAGAGAAACTGCTGAATGTGCATGCACGACTTTCTTAATACCTGAGACATCCAAAAATTAAGCAAAGAAGGGTGATGATAGTTTTTAAAGCACTCAGGGAGGCTTTATCTGTCTCTCCTTATGATTCGTGAGAGCTTCACGTGGTGTGTGTGGATCAACCTTCCTAACAGGCAACAGAGTTTGAATGATACAATTTGGAAGAAGGTTGAAAAGGTAGCACAACCTAAGTTAGTTAATGAAATATTAGGTAATGAAATATTGCAGGTAATTTCCGTGGACGAGTCACACCAGTCATTCTGAATACAAAGCACCTCAAGAGCCATCACTGTGTGCTGTCCCCCCATGTGCCTCCCTACCCCGCAGAACAATTACGTTCCCTTTGACAGGTATTAAATATTTACCTCCAGCACAGTAGGTGTCATCCAGGTAATCCTCTTGCTCACATGACCTCTGAACCTGTGGAAGTGGCTGCAGCTTTCCTGGGCAGTTTTAGAAAAAAACTTTGAAACCCCCTTTAAGAGTTGCTGCTTCTCTCCTCTGCAGAGCTCCAGTTCCATTCTGTAGAACCCTACACCAAGAAGGAGCTCTCTGCTGTGACTTTCCCTGACATCATCCGCAACTACAAAGTGATGGCAGCTGAAAACATTCCTGAAAATCCACTGAGATTTCTGTACCCAGATATACCCAAAGACAATGCCTTTGGCAAATACTACTCCAGGCCTAAGGAGGGTGAGTGCTATAAATGGCTGATCCCATTTATATTGTTCCTGAGGTACTTGGGCACTGTGCAATTCCTGTGGCATGGAAAGAAAGGAAGCAGTTGGCCTGAGTTTCTTGGCAGTCTGTCCCATGCTGAGCTAAAAGGTCAGCAGAGGCACCTGAGCTTTACAGGTTAAGAAAAGGTCTGTTTTTAAAGAGGCACAACATGAGATCTAATCAGATCAAAACCCGAAAACCTAATTGTCACTGGCCCTCCAATTCAGCTTTCGTGAGCCCATGTTTCAGAAATGTAGGTGCTCACTAGCAGCTGGAACATGACTGGCTATGGAAGGGTTATTTTCCCCATTTTCTATAGGGGAAAAGGAAACAGGAAAATCTGACTAAAAATGAAATAAATTAACTATAGTGCTGTAAAATGCATGATGGTGAGACTTGCACATTATCTGGGTCACAGGCTTTATTTTTGGTACAATGAAGATGGCAGTGTGAAGTAAACTTGCAAAAAAACCCACAAACCCACAAGCTTGTCTTTCTTTTCTCCTTGAAGCACCAGAGCCAATGGATTTGGATGGTCCCAAGGGAAACGGCTACATCAAGACTGAGTTAATCTCTGTGTCTGAAGTGTAAGTTTTCACAAAAATGCTGGAATTTTAAAAACTAATCATAAGTATTTAGCTGTAGTTCATGTCTCTTCACAATATCTAAGGTGTAGGTGCCCTTGCCAAATATTTCTCCTTTGAGGATCATTCATGCAGTGCTGTGTTTAAAACACCATTTCTAGATAAAAGCCCTAGAAACTTGCTGGTAGTTGTACTGACAAATGATTTCTTTAAAAGCAAGTTCTTAAAGACTTGTTGGACTTCCTTGATCAGGATGGGCATCCCTGAGTAGTCCCAGTTCTCATTTAAAGCCGTTTTGCTGGCTTTGCAAAGCCTGGTGTATATTGCTCACAGACCTGGTCTTCTTCACAAGGGGCCTCGTTAGTGGCCCTTGTGGCCTCAGAGCCAGACATGGTAGCCCAACTGTGCCTCATTTCTTTAGTGAAAGTTTATCCCTGCTCTTCTCCATTAGCCACCCCTCCAGGCTTCAGTCTCCAGAAAACCTGCTCCCCATGTCCCCTGAGGAGTTTGATGAGGTATCTCGGATGGTGGGCCCGGCAGAGATTGATACTGTGGTATGTATCATGAGCCACCCGTTTGCAGGGTGCTTCTCACCTTTTTTTTCCCTCCAGATGTACCTCAGACACTTAACACAAGTGAACACTTCAGAACACGTCTCTTCACGCATGTAGGGATAGCTGGGGATCCAGAGTAGGACTGGGATTGCCATCAGTTGTTCTTTCCACCTGTCTGTGGGGATGGAGGTGAAGAGCAGGAGAGCAAAGCTTCCTGTGTGTACCTTCCATGCGGAGGGAAGATGGGAAGGGAGGAAGGAGCATCACTGTAGTCCTTCCTGTGGGGTCTGGGTGGGGAGGGCCACTAGAGCAGGAGTGCAGTTTGGCCACTAGAGCAGGAGTGCTACTCTGGCAGTGCTGCTGAGATTCTCCCTGTTAACAGAGCAGTGTTGTCCTTGGAGGGTGTGCTTCAGAAAAAAAATCAAAATTAAACTTTGTGATTCCCCTCCTACCCCGCCGGGTAGCTGGATCCTAAGCTGTGAGTCTGGTTTTATTTAGGGAGAACGTGGTCATAGCTCTGGTTAGCAAAGACTTGAGTATTAGGGCTTACTTGTCTTGTTTGATGGACATTTCCTTTTCTTGTTGCAGATGTGTACACATATTCAGCTCTGAGCTTTGGCTGAACTTTTTACTGTGTCATAACGCGGCTGATTCGCTTACGTGTCCTGCACTGCAGTCCATGCCTTGGTGACACACTTCACTGCCGTTCTTTGGTTTCTCAACATGAAGGTCCAGTAGCAATTTTTAGCTAATGGAAGTATCAACAATAGCAGTCTCAGCAGCCTCCTCATGTGCACTTCTTTGTTTAGTTAGCAAAATACCGTGCCACAGTGGAGGAAGAGAGGAGGATAGGAATGTGAGGTCCTCAGCGAGAACTGATGGGACAAACACGCGCTCATGTTTAAGGGAATTAGTTAAATGTAATGTTTAAAACGGTTGGCTGTACACAGAAGGCTTCCAAGGAAAGCTGGTTCTTCTGCAGAGGTTCTGCTCAGAAAGCTTGTGCCTTCTGTGTAACTACTTCTGCAGAACTTCCATAGCTTTGGATTTTCATCTGCGCCACAGAAAGGAAAAGGGAAACACTCTACAGATACATGCCACGCCAAATGCATGTGCTGCTGAAGTTTGCTGTGGTTTTAGCTTTTCTAGGCATGGCATATTCAGAGAGCAAAAAATGTTACCTGCATTTAATTTTTTTGTTGTTGTTTTTGTAAGGCATAACCTCGTGTAGGATGGTTAGCACAATCTTTCACATGAGTATTTCTTAGGGCACCACCTTAAAGCTGCATTGGCACATGCTGAGCTCGCAACTCAAGGTGTACAATCAAAACTAAAGCTTCTGCAGACGGCAGCCATGTTGTCTAGCAGAGTATCAGACAAAATGAGAACCTACTCTTTAAAAGAGTGTAGAAAGGGTTGAAGTATGTTTTTACTCACTGTGTTTAGCCTACCAAGGTGAGGACCTGGTCACTTCTATCTTTTACAGTAATAAACACCCCGTTTAGGTTATAACAGGTGGAATGGAACTCATTTTTCTCATGCATTATGAACCAGGGCATTTATTTAACTGTTGATTTGAATAGCTGTAAGATCCTACAGGCTTTCATAATGAAGTAGTTTTGCAATTAGGGATGAGGCACAGGAAAGCGAGGGAGTTAAATTTATACAGAATAACAGCTGCAGGATATGCACTTTGTGGTACTTGAAGGATGAACTTGTGTTTCCACCAGAGGAGGAACAGGTTTGTTTCTCAGCACGTTTGAAGATAATTAACAACTCACAGTTGAGAGGCAAGGCTGTCTCAGGCAGCTGGGCTCTGCACCAGGGGTGTCTATTAGTGCACACTGCTAATTAGCACACAGAGGAACAGAGGGACTGCAAGAGCCCTTGTGCTGGATCCCACCGGTTCAGGTGGAACAGCAACAGGAACAGGGCAGCTGGCTGGAGCAGGGGGTGGGACAAGGTGACCTCCAACCTCAGCCTCAGCCCAGCTGTGACTCAGGTGCTACTGCAGCCTCTCCCCGCTCTGCTGTCTGTTCTATTCCCATCACCTGGGAGAGCAGCAGCAGCCCATGGGACTCACAGAGACTGCAGAGCTGCTTTTCTAGATTCAGAGAAAAATTAAAGGACCTGTGTGTCTTTAAATGAAAGCATTTTCAAACTGACTTATTTTTGGTGCTCTGGGTTACTGAGGTTAACAAACAGTGCTACAGGATACAACAACTGGTGACTTAATGCTTTTATCTTACTCTAAGTAGCTGAATGTGTACCTTTATTGTCAATACAAAAAGTATTTGTTTCTTGAGCTACTACACCTTGTACTCATGTCCCATATGCAGCAGTCATTGTTCATTACTTTTACATTTCAGTTTTATCAAGCAGAGTGAAATGTTCTTCTGAGATTTAAAGCAGCAGCCTTATTTGTGCCTTGGTCTTTCCAGTAGTGATTTTCCATAATGGAATATTCTTTTGCCATTTATAAAAAGATGGAACTGTCAGTTGACATTTTTGTCCTATCTCTTGTTTGTTGGCTACTTTTATTATAAAGATGATGTGTTTGCCAGTAGTTTACTGCTCTGTATCTCATTTTAAACTTGCTTGTGTAACTAAAGAGTTAAAGCTCTGAAGCCTAAGGCTGTATCGGTGCTCTTAATTCTCTGCATTGTAGCAGGTCATTCTGCTCTGGAGCACTTAGAAGGTGGCTGTTCACTTTTTTTTATTATTGATTGTATCACTTCACCGATTTGTTTTCTTGCCCACCCAAATTTCAATAAACTGAACTTGAATTTCAAATTTGAGTGATCAGTAGGATAACTGATGTATAGCTAAACTTCGTGAGTTACCAAGCTGGACCACCTGCTGCATCATTTATCTCTGGGGCTATTAAGTGACATGATCCCTTGTCTCATGCTTGTTGGGCTTTTAGATGAACAGCCAGAAGAATAATAAAGGAAAGAAACTGTTGGTGTGATAAAGGATAGCAGGAGTGAAGAGGAGGCAAGAGAAATCCAGAGCTGTTAGAAAGTACCTGGACTTAAGAATTCCAGCATTAATAAAAAGTAACCAGTACAAGAACGCAGCTCTGGAAGTGCGGGTTTCAAAATAAATAACATCAACAAAAACAATCAGAAAAAAAGCTAGATTATATAAATTAATTCTGATTTCCTATAAGCTTTGCACAATGCAAATGACCAGAGAAGGTTCTCCTGGACAGCCTTCTCCATGACTGAAGACTTATTTCAAAGGCAGCTGCATAGATAACCAATAAAACCAACCACCACCATCATCATCTTGGTATTTCCATTTATTATGCTGTAAAAAGCAACACTATCTGGAATTTATTTCTTAAAATAAATAACTTTCATTTTCAGAACCAGTACAGCTCAAGTTTAGATTCATTCATGGGAAACTGCTAGAAATACATTCATCACTGTCTAGTCCCCACAATACAGAATCTAAAGTCAAGATCAGCCCAGTCAGTTAACAATGACCAGAAGTACACTGCCAGTAAGTATAGTCACGGATAGTCCAGCTCTGAAGCAAAAAAATCTGGTACAATACAGTTTGTTCACAAGGATAGGCTAATTAATGCTAAGACTACCACAAGATTTCTGAGTACAAAGCATTAAGTTAGCTTAACAACTTTTTAGGTTGTGATACAGAAGAAACATATATGACATAAAAACAAAGGAGTGGGGGAATCCTCTTTGGAGCGTAAGGAAGTCAGCGCTGGATAAGATAACCAAAAGCTATTTACTGTAAGATCTACATGTCGGTGTCATGAATGATAAACAGCCAAACCAATGTACTGCATATATTTATAGTTATAAATAACGCCATGTCTAAAGTAGCTGCATCGCTGAATTGGACATTACAAAGTAATCCATCTTCTCACAATGAGAAAATACTAAAACTAACCAGCAAAAATGCACTGAAGCTAAAGACCGGCTAAGAGCAGGCGGTATGAAAGCGTTAACTTTAGGGACAGCTATGATCTTCAATGTCAACCCAGTTAAAATCCTTTTGGTTTTGGTTTGTTTATATATGCGTACTATATATAATATACTTATCTTTTAAAAATGCCAGTTTGAACAATGCAATGTCAGTTAAATAAAGCTTAAATCAGGTATTTTTCTGAGAAGCTATAGGATGTGTTTTAATAGGGAAAAAAATATGGAAGAAGTCAGATTAGCACAGAAATTCAGAATACTAGAGCAGAATCCATCTGAAAGTATTCCTTTACATTACAGCTGACAGATCTGTTACCAGAGAAAACATGTTGGAATTTACTTCGGGGTGCAGCAGAGAAGAGGCCTTGTGCTACTCAGTGACCAGTGTGGCTCAACAAAGAGCCAGAGGCTGTGTTTAGGTCTTGGTTAGAACTGAGGTGGCGGTGACACAGGATGTGAAAAGAAGGGGCTAAAAGCCTTCAGAAAAATAGCTGATCTTCACAAAAACAAACAAACAAACAAAACAAACAAACAAAAAAAAAGAAGCCAAAAAACCCAACCAGCTTAAGAACAGTAAGATTCTTGAGAAAAAGTGTTTGATAACCATGCCAGCCAGCTTCGAAATGCTATTTCAGGGCTTTAGACTTTCAGACTCTTCCAAGATTTCATCATCATGAAGACAGTCACTGTTTGTGATGAGTACCAAGCACTTTTCCATGTGATTTGTCCCCCCTGCAGGGAGGCAGTATGGCATATTAACAAGAGACTGTACAGGAACTAGAAAGGTTCTATTCTCAACTATACTGACCTGCTGGGTTGCTCTGGAGAAGTTACTTCTCTCTAAGCCTTAGTGTACCCATTGCTAAAGGAGGATAATGTGGTTCATATCATCTCTGTAAAGTGCTTGGGCCATTCTGAAAAGAATTTGGGCATTATTCAGGAGGATTTTGGTGCCAAAACACAGAAAGTTTGAACTTTGAGATCTAATGACTTGTACGCTACGTGTTAGGATAAAAACCACCATATACACAATTCTCAAGCACAATCTCCTTTTCTGTGTACTAAATGATTCTTGCCTAAAATTCTTGTGCTAAAATTCTTGCCTATGTCCAACAACTCTGGTGTTTTGCTAGTATCTTAAGTGACTGCTCACTTCTGAGGTTTTATGCCACAGTACTGGCAGAAGCAATTGCACATGGGACAGGGAGCTGTGGGAACACTGTACTTCTGCAAACGACAAATATCTGCATCTACATTTCCCATAACAGGGCACATGCCATGCTGGCTCCAGTGGCAAGACATTAAATGCCACCACAAAAGGCATTTACCTGCTTGTGCTCCTGGTGCTGAACTCCTGTTCTACACCAGCAGAATCCCACTGATGCAGTAGCCTGCTCCCTGGTTGACGGCAGTGCAAGAAGAGAACATAACCCAAAAACCTGGCTTATCTCCTGCTCTGCCCATGCTTTGATTGGCTCTATGCTCCTTAAAGCTGTTTCACTCCATCCGTGTTCCTTATAACAAGCCTAAATTAGTTCAGAGTTACGTGTAGTATTTGGTTTGGTTCTTTGCCTTCCCTGTGCTTCCATTCCCCTCGCTGGCTCCTGGTGCACCCACCCAGGACACCCCTGCCAGCCCCAGCGGGGGTTTGCAGCTTGCCAAGGCTCGCTGTAGTGCAAATAGACCTGCAAGGAACACCTGCACGGAGTGGAAGCACCCGCTTTCCCCTGTCACAGGGAAGTACTTTAGCAGCTGAACATGGAGAGAGAGAGAGAGGAGGGAGGCAAGACAAAGGGAACTGAAAGAAACGCTTCCCAACAAAAACCCCACTACACACCGGTGTTACAAGTCACATTCCCCTACACCATTTGGTCAAACAAACCTTAAAACACATTCCCTGACAAGACTATCTCTAAGAACAAGCCTAGACCATTGACAATTGTCACCTATATACTCTGTGATATTTATATTATGTAAACAAGGTTGTGTGGAAATATTTTTTTTCTATTTTTTTTTTTCCAAAAGGTAAGTGCAGATCCTTACTTAACACACCCAGCCGAAATCTACATCAGCATCTTCAGCTTTCAAAAAAACCTCACTGACGCTCATACCTGACAGTACTCTGGCTCACCTTGGCCATACTGGAAACTGAGGGCTAGAGAAACAAAAATTCAGCAGAAAAATTCCTGACCACAGACTAGAGTTCACACAGAACACAAAAATAAATTAAGTAGTGCACAGTAAAGCCAACAACAGCTAAATATTTTTATACATCAATTATATGCAGCATGAGGTAATATTGCTC